TAATCATCATTAGATTATAGCCAATCAGTAATCATCATTAGATTATAGCCAATCAGTAATCATCATTAGATTATAGCCAATCACCAATAGCAGGATCAAGCATTCTCCACATAATCCCCACAAGCACGTGAACACATTCTCAACAAGGCACACATCTGGTGCTGTGGGAACTTTTTTGTCAAGTACAGAACAACCTGAAAGATATATATATAGACAATGTCAAAGAAGTCTTGCAGAAAAACACATTTTAACAGCAGGAACTGAGCAGGAAAATAGATGGGCTTCCCATACTTCCCATACTCAATTCAGATTTTTAGTAAGTATTCAGCAAAACTGATCATTTGGTGGGTTCCAATGTCTCCATAATGTAGAAATATATGTATGTTGAATAAGTTAGTTGTGAGATCTGAAAACTGATCACTTGGTGGGTTCCAATGTCTCCATAATGTAGAAATATATGTATGTTGAATAAGTTAGTTGTGAGATCTGAAAACTGATCACTTGGTGGGTTCCAATGTCTCCATAATGAAGAAATATATGTATGTTGAATAAGTTAGTTGTGAGATCTGAAAACTGATCACTTGGTGGGTTCCAATGTCTCCATAATGTAGAAATATATGTATGTTGAATAAGTTAGTTGTGAGATCTGAAAACTGATCACTTGGTGGGTTCCAATGTCTCCATAATGTAGAAATATATGTATGCTGAATAAATTAGTTGTGAGATCTGAAAAAAGAAAAGAGTAAAATAAACAACTCACCATCAGAGCCACTTTAAAGACTTGTGAATGGTAACTGGAAGAAGATGAACCATGGAAGATGAAACCTCGCTATAGAGTAAGTAATGATGCATTGATGTGTAAAGATTGTCCATGTTCCCATTGGCAAGATCACATACAAGAGATGTTGATGGCTAGAAGTAAAAGTAGCCATTAGATAATAATGAACAAACCATAAAGAACAAAGGAGGCAATCTGTGTCAAAATGAAAGTACAAGAGAGGAAAGGGAAAGAAAAATGAACAGAGAAAACACCCAATCACCCTCTCAGGCCAGCCAAGTTTGGGCAGTCCATGAAGAAGATGAACCTGTTTTTATGGTGAATAGTATGATAGGAGGCCAAGACAAAAGCTACTGCAAGGGAAGAGGGAAAGAAATATATCCAAAGCATATAAAAGAAGGTGAAACCACACCAGACACAGAGCTGTAGATCTGGGATTGGATACAGAATGAGTAAAAGTAAAGAGTGGAACGGAGGTACAATGGCGGTCAGTAAGTTTAGGACACCCATAGTGGAAGCAAATCCATTGAAAACACCAGAATAAAGAAAACCATACTTTGCATACAAAATGTAAGAGATCCCTAAGTGAAGGAAATACATGGTGAGACTGTATGAGACTGAAGTGAACAACTGAACCAGTTACCCAAAATGCGATGACTCATGATAAAGAAAGGAGGTCACAACAGAGAAAGCCACATTGGAAGGGGCATAAAGAGGCCAAACATCCATAGAATAATGAAAAAATAGGTATCAAGAGTGCAATTTCCAAAACAAATCCCACCAGATCCAATGGAAAAGAGTGAGACTGTAGCCAACTTGAAGGGCAGGACTAAGAACCAATTGTTCAACTATTGCAGATGAATCAAAGGAAGCACAAGACAAGTAGACAAACTGGCATGTGGAAGAAGTGTTAGGACTCAAAAATGGTCACCTCCACAGGATAGTGAGAAATTGATCTTCAGAAACCAAGGAAAGATCAACAAAAGGTCAATTGTGAAAGAGTATTATTTGACCAACAAATTCAAATCTACTTGGAGATGATAAAAAAAAATGGAAGTAAAACCCCAGAGTGTTGTGGAGGAAGTGTTCCCTGGCATTTGAAACAGAATGAGGTGGAGAGTAGAAGTAGAGGGGACAAAATCCTGAAAATGCACCCAAGGATTCAATAACTCAATAGGTTGTAGCAAAAGGAGTCCATTAGTGAACAAAGTGAGACAGCAGAACTCCCATAGGACTGGAGCCAAAAAGCCATAAATCACCTCCAATACCTATGACAGCCAGCTCTCAAAAAAGAGGAACTATGGGGAATAACAATAGAACAAGAAACAGAAGAGGAGGGTAACCCCAAAAGCTGATATATAATGAGAAACCTGGTGAGGCTTCTGGTTTCAAGGGCAAGAAACCAAATTCAGCAGAGATGATTGCTGAGTAATTGTATCAGCTCAATATGCCAATGTATAAAAAATACCCCCACCCAAAAAAAACAAGAACAAACACATCACAAAGGAAGGGTGCAAGACAGGACTCCTGAAGAGGAAATTACGGAGGTGAAAGTCAGAAAGTAAGGCAACCTAACAAAGTAAACCCCAGAAACAAATATAACTGGGACAAAATGAAAGAAGACGGAAAGTAAGGTGAAAAATAGATATTTGGAAGCTGCCCCAGTGAAGCTGATTCTGTCATGATGGGAAACCTCCAAACGAATCTGAAGCAAGAGAACAAATAAAGTACATTGCAAGTTAGGTGAGAGCCTCAAGGCCAGTGGCATGTGAAAAGTGTGCATATAGAGGGCAGCACAAATTGAGGAAAACTATTATGTTAGAGGAGATAAGGTGTCATATCGGAATTTAGTCTTACTTCAGAGAATTTTTTTTTTCCTTTTTTCTTCTGAAGCATCTATAGAATATAATCACCTGTTATTCTATGGTCAAGAGCTACACACCACTTATTACACCATGAAGTGACTTGATTAAGCAAAGATTGAGCTTTGTTTCAGCAACCAGGGGATCTTGTGACGTGCTCCATATGGCTACTTCATTGGCAAATTGTGATGATGTGTGGTCAAACACACTGACTGGAATTTCTCAGCTTACAAAAAGAAGGAGAAACTGTGGAATCGAAGAACTGAATGACAAAAGTGGGACTACCTGATTCAGGTCAGGAACGAGGAGCAAATGTAGGCATGGAAATAAAAGTGGAGAAATGGAGGCAGGCTCAAACAAAGTAACAGAAGCAGGACGTTGTGAATCCTGGATCCAAAATCAGAATAGAACCAGCCACAAGGTGCACAATGAAAGTTATATCACCGATGTCCTGTCTCCAGTTGCCATGACAATATTGGATAGCTCCTGTGAAGGAGTGTTGTAAATCTCAGGAGATATCAGAAACATGTCAACATGATCCAGTTAATCTTGCAGTGGTCCATTTTTGTAAAATACATAAAGACTTTTTTTTGTTATACATTAGAAAAAATGAGCTAGATATCGCAATAGTGCTTAGGCTTAATGACAACCTTGAAAAGAATTAGATGAAACCCATATGTTGGATAAAAACTAAGGGATCAGACAAAAGTACAAAGTAAATTAAAAGAAAGCCTAATTGAAGATAATTCAAATGAAAGTTCCAACTGATAAGTTTAAAATTTAGTATCTTTCTGTCAGATTATCAAGAAAATTAAAAACTACACAACAAATAATAATGAAAGGATAAAACAATGAGAGAAATGTTTGCTGTAAATTTTATGAAAACAAAAGTCTGAAGATAAGCAGTGTTGAGAAAGAAGTGAGCCTTTGTCCAAATACTAGTTCTCATGGAAATTACTGTGCATGGAGAATGTACTGGTGATTACATCATAGACTGGCACAAAACATGTTGACACATGTAAAAGTGTGAGTGTTTTTTTTTCAAAGCTTGCATTATGCACAGGAATTTACACAGCAGAGCATGCTAAGCAACAGCTCTTTTTGGTGAAGAGGTCAGTAGCATTCCTACATTCACAATATCTTCACAAAAACAAACACAAAAAAAAGAGTGCAAAAGGAACTGTAACTATAATTATATAGCACCTGCCATATGATAAAACTACTGTATTTTCTACATATTGAAAAAAAAGTCTTAATGAAATTAACCAGAATGATGATTGGTCCTAACTTTTCATTTTCCTTCTGTTTATTCTTTATTTTGTTTAGTGTTTCTAACTTAACACTTTTATAACAGACTTATCAGTGAAAGGTCTTTATATTATTTAAAAAACAACAACAACTGGAATTTAAGTAATTTGTATTTTAATTATAATTTTATTAAGCAAGTGATGCAGCATGATTTTTTAAACTAGCTGTAAATTCAACTCGAACAGGTGAGATCTTAAAAGAATATTTTCACATTTGGGAGCCTAGATTTCATGATCTTAATATTTTATTAGTCCAAGTGGAGAGTCACCTGCTCGAGAACTGGGACCTTTTCCACATAACTAAGTTAGTAAAGCGTCACCTTCACAGCACTAGCCCAAATCACAGGTCCTCATATTTAAGCCCCAAAAGTCCTACTTTATTCTATTAGTTCCTAACGTGGGTAGCTCAGTTGTTACAAGTATCAGCCTCAGAGCACCATGTGAACTGTAGGTCTTGAGTTCAAGCCCCCAACAGGGCAGATTTCTGAACCTACTGTTTTCAAGTTATGAAGATATAGTTTAAAATGATGAGACAAGTTCATTCTTCTAATAGCTGTAGCAAGAATTAACATAAATCTGTGAGCTCAATGACAATAAACACTTTACATGAAACAAGATAAAACTAACTGACTGGTAAGATTAAGTTTACTAGTTGACCTTAATATTAATGACACTTTGGACTGTCCACATGAAACTACACATTTATCAAATGGACATATCAGTAATCAGTTTAAATATGTGAACTCAATGACAATAATCACTTCACGCAGTCCAAGATAAAAGTAGCTCACTGGTGAAATTCAGTTTACTAGTTGACCTTAACAATAACCCTTTCAGTGCACTGGGAAATATACATCCCAGCCGCAGTGAATGGGTTAACAACATTTTGGACTGTCCACATCAAACTAGAACATTCATTTAATGCAACTTGATTTATAGCTTAACATTAAAAGATTGTGATTATTGGCTCAGAACTGAACCTATAAAAATGTATTTAGTTTTTTTAATCATTATCTTAGCATTTTATCCATAAAAATAATGAAGTCTATAACTTTGATTAAAATAAACAAATTCAAATAAAGACACCAAATGCTTGGCAATGAGTCAATTTTTTTTTTAAGATTTCAGATGCCATTTAATAAGAGGTATTTTAGAAGCATTGTTTAATAAGTAAAAATACAAATTAAACACAAATAATCTGTTTGTTTGTAGTTAAAGAACTTGCTAATAATAATAAGTAATATAACCTGTTCAACTGAAGCTGAGAAACTTACTAATCAAAGATACTTAGTCAGTAAAACTCTGTACTTGAAGTCAAGAAACAAGCTATTAAAAATAATTCATTAGTGAAACCCATTTGTGTGGAGTTAAGGATATTGTTTATTAAAGATAAGTAATCAGTGAAACCCATTTGTGTGGATTTAAGGATATTGTTAATTAAAGATAAGTAATCAGTGAAACCCATTTGTGTGGAGTTAAGAATATTGTTAATTAAAGATAAGTAATCAATGAAACCTATTTGTGTGGAGTTACGAATATTGTTAATTAAAGATAAGTAATCAGTGAAACTCATTTGTGTGGAGTTAAAGATCTTGTTAATTAAAGATAAGTAATCAGTGAAACCCATTTGTGTGGAGTTAAGAATATTGTTAATTAAAGATAAGTAATCAGTGAAACCCATTTGTGTGGAGCTACAAAAGTTGCTTCTACGTGTTTAGTACCATTAGAAAACATCCAATGTTAAAGTTGCAGGTCCGGAGACAGATCTGTACATCTTACCGATGATACCCTGAAAGTTCCAATTTTCTCCTTACATACACACTATAATGAATGCACTGACTGTTCTCCTGGTTAAGAAGGACTTCTGCATCTTCTTGTGCCGATACGAATGACTTCTATAAAAGAACAAAAAAAAACATTAGAAAACCACATGTACAAGATACTTAAAATCACCAGCAAATGAGAACAAGATATATTCACAGAATAATGACCAAAAGTTATTTTAAAAAGTGCCAATGCAAGACATAACTAATTGAGATCTTGTGTAACACTTTAAGAAACAGCTCCAATTTTCTCACACATGTGCCTGTCTTAATGCTGACATAAACATACGTACTGGGAGTGGTCAACATGCCAAACTGTAGAATCTTCTCCATCAGATGACGAAGACAAGAAGCAAGAGAAAAAGGAAGATGTAGTATCTGATGGGAGGAAACCTGGAATAAGGTACAGGAGGCAGAAGGTAGGGAAGAATAGGCCAAATGAACCAAAAGGTAGACCCAATTAGTAAAGATAGAAGGTGAAAATCACAATGGGAGGAGAATTGCCATGGGATAAAAAGACAATTGCTTGTACCCCAAATAGGAGCAGTACATGCCACATAACAACGAAGGGTTCTGACTGGACACAGAAGCCCATCTGGATATTGTCTAAGGTATAGATGGGACATAGAAGGAAGGGGAATTGTAGAAAAGGATGAACAACCCTCCTGAGTTGCTGAGATCTTAGGAAGAAAGGAACGATCAGTATAAAGGAGAAGATAGGTATGGTGATGAATGGTATGTGAAAAGTCAATGGCATACAAATCTGACCTTCACCGTCTACAGGCTAAGAGTAAGAGGATGTTCCAATTCGAAATAGTTGGACGTTTGGAAAGTTGATGTTTCCAGATAGAATGCATGAGCATAATAAGAACAGGGGAAATAAAAACCTTACAGCATTGGGAAAACATAAGGTATGGGATAGGGCCACCCAATATCTGGAATGCAAGGAGACCAAACACCCACAGTTGAAAATCAGGTGAGAAATTCTGCCACACAAGCCACAGAAGGCTTGTCAGCAGGAAACCCACTGTTAGCAGACCAACAGCAGAATACTTTCCACTTACATTGTTACACTTCCATGGAAGATGGCCATGTGGAATGAGCTAACAAGAAGGTGACTTGACATGTGAAACTGGATTGTCTCACCAAGGATCAGACAAAAGCCAGGCATGAAGACACAGGACATGGAGAGTGGGATGTAGAATGTGGGATTGAGGTTGACGAAGAAGGGATGGAGAAAGTGGAAGAGGGACAGGTGGTGATAAGAGTAGAGTGGACAAGAGAAATCACCCAATGAAGCAATCAGATGGGAGGGTACACATAAAGATATCTGTGTAACCAATTCTGGGTGAAGGTATTAACCACCAAAGCCTGTGGATGCAGTACAGGTGACCAAAAAAGGGGTAATTTGGCACTGAGGCTGTGGCTAAGTCATTCAATTGGGGAAAATTCCATTGATGGCAAAGATCCCTAAAAACAAGTGGATCTAATGCTCACTCCATTGGATATATTTGATCAGGGCATGACATCTGATCTGCAATGAGATTGAAAGCACCCAGCACATGATGCGATAAGGCAAATGTGGTGTGCATGAGCCCAGTATAATAGATCCAACATCCAAAAACAGAGATATCTGGACCAGGTGCCCCCTTGGTGATTGATATGTGACACCACCATAGAATTGTCCAAATGAACCATTACAAGACAATGATGAGTGAGAAGAAGGAAGTGATGCAACATCCGACATACTGCTATCAAGAACATTGATATGCAAGACAGTTTTGTCCTCAGACCAACAGCCTGAAATGGGAGGAAATGAGGGTGGAAAAAGGATCCCAAGCAAGATTGCATCATTCGTGAAGTGCCCACTGAAGGTATTTCATATGGGCACGACCTAGAGGGACTAGTGCAGTCATGGAGGAACACATACCCAAAAGCAATAGAACCTTCCATGCAGTAAGTGACTGAGCCAAGAGGGCATGGTGAACCAAAAGTTCCATTGAATGAAGACATAAAAATGGCAGAACATGACTGATAATCATGTCAAAAAAGACCCTGAAATGGACTATATATTGAGTGGGTCAAAGGAATGACTTCTCCAATTTGATAAACCAGTTCACCCGAGCCGCCACAGAAAGTAATTGGTGAGTATAAGAGGTCGATTCTAGCTCGGAATGAGCCAGAAGGAGCCAGTCATCCATGTAATAATGAAATTGCATCCTGAGAGCATGGAGATGATATGCAAAAGCTTGGACTATGTGACAAAACACAAAGGGAGCCAAGGCAAGTCTGATGGGGAGTGCCCAAAATTGGTAAACCACCCCGAGATGGACAAACCAAAAGTATGGTCAAGACCAATATGCTATCGGAATGTGGAGGTAAGCACTGGGGACATCCATTTTCATCATCTGCAACCCTGGGGAAAATGCCCATCTCAGGGTGAGAAAAGACTCCATGGTGAACTTGGGGAGTGCAATGAAGTGTTTGAGGTAGATAAATCGCTGACCAGCTGCCAATCCATGGTTTTCTTAGAGACAACAAATAAATGGGAATAAAAACATCCATAAGAAAGATAAACCAGTTCGATGACCCACTGCTATAGCAATTCTCGAACCACTTCTGACAGATGCTGGTAGGTCACAGGATCTCGACAAAGAGGAAAGGAAATAATGCAAAGAGAAATAGGTTGTGGAAAAAAAAAACTGGATAAGAAATCCTTCTGACAGAACCATTGATCATCTATGAAGGGAAGCCAGCAAGAAAGAAACTCTAATAGCCAAGCTCCCACCAAACCCAAACCCACAGGGTAGTCACCGGTAGTATTGGCGACGGGGGTTACATTGTCGAGGAAATTGATGAGAAGAAGTACCCTGATTAAAAGGAACAGGAAAGGTTGGGAGGATGAAGGATGGGAAATGGGAATAGGTGGCCTATGAAGCTCTGACTGAGACAAATGGGCTACAAAAGTCATAAGAGTTGATTGCTGGTGAACCAATGTCATCCAAGGCTTGATAGTTTCTGGGACTATATGAAAGACGTAACATCTCAGAAAAGGTGCAAAATGTAAATCCCTGAGATAGGTTGAAGGTAACTTGATCTGAGCCAAAACTGTATCCCAATCTATAAGGTCCTAATAACAAAAAAAACATATACATAATGACAGAGCCAAAGAAGAAATGTGGGGTATAGTGGAGGAAAGAAGTGTAAGGGTATCTGCAGAAAACCCCTCAGGATTTCTGTGGAGAAACTCCAATAGGAGATGTATGGAAGAAAGTTGCTGTAGGAGGTTGGTTAAAGTACGACATAGGCGAGAATACTGGGCATGGGTAAGACTGACATTAGATTCAGGAGCCATCCTCCAGACGGGTAATAATGAACAAAACAACTGTTGATCTAAAAACATATAGTTCACAAGATGGTATGAAAGGGCAAACTGATCAGAAGTCCTTGGGGGGCACAGCATGCTGATCCCCTCATTTAATTGTGAGACAAATTGATCCGCATGTACCCAAATATGAGGGGAGGGAAGAAAACTAAAAATAGTTGGAAAGCTTGTTCATGTAACAAGGAAGGACGAGGGGAATAAGAGATAGGGGAAAGGGACAAAACATCACAAACATGAAACACAAAAACGATTTAGGCCTAGTTGGTTCTTCAAGCTGTAAATGGGAAGGAACAGCAAACTCAGGAAGTGGGAAAAGATGATCAAAGTCCTTGTCATTTTTAACAAAATTGTTTGACTTAGGAAGAGCCTGGGTGATATCAGGGGTTAAAGGTGGACCCATATAGCGCTCAATATAGCGACGTATAAAAGCAGAGAGATCCACTGTTGGGACACCCGCACCTGAGAAAAACCACTGGTCATTGGTGTCACACTTGCAGTGGTAACGTGAACTTCATAATCCATAGCACAAGAAAAGGTTCATAAAAGTCTAGTGCAGAAATACAGTGACAAGAATGAACTGGTACAAAATAAAATAAAGTCAAATGTAACCACTTCGTGTGAAAAAAAAGAAAATGTGTTTGTCACACTGGAAGCACAAGGCACATAAAAGAGTACGTCTGAACTCAAATGCTGCCAAATGAGAAGTGGAGGTTTGGTAGAGGAGTGTAGAGGGAGTCACATGTGTCATGTGAGCATATTATGCCACTATTGGTTAAGAGATGACACATGATGATTTACATGAGCGACAATTTGGAATATAATAATTTCAACAGGGGGGGGGAGTAGAAGACTTGTGGCATGAGTAAAGAAAAAGTTTGCACTGAAAGAGAATAGCTAACCTTGTGAGAGGAAGTATGCACCATATCAGAATTATTTTTAATACAGAAAAATTAATTTTGATAATTGGGTAAAGAAACATTAGATACACATAATTTGTTAACTTACATCCTTGATAATATAATTTTCACAGGTAAACCTAATAATGTAATTTCACATATATTCCCAATAAAGTAATTCATTCACACGTATCCCTGAAAATGTAACTTATTAACACGTATCCCTGATAACAATATTTACTCAGAGATAGCCCTGACAATGTAATTTTTAATAATTCCACTTGTTTTTTTAAATGAAGCTGAAAGAGATGGTCTTGGCCCTTGAATGGAAATTCACCACAGCTAGTAAAGAATTTAAAGTATTAAAATATTTATTTTTCTAGCAGTTATCAAAACAACTTAGGTGGTCAGGAAGTGATGAATCTTTACATAATATTAAAACCCAAGGCAGTGAAAATACTAGAGCTTGAGTAAACCCATCAAATATGCTGTTCTTATCCTCATATACAATTCAGATAGGAGTTTTAAACCGAAATATATATTCCAAAAAATTACATTTAAATCCAAAGTACTACCACTTAACACTTTTATTTTAGCACACTTACATTAGTAAACAGACAAATATCAAGATAGGATACCTGAAGTGTGGCACATATGGAGTTATTTATTTGAATTATTACAAAACTGTAATCAGGGTTAGTAATGAGCAGTGTCCATATAAAAAATAGCTCCTTATTCACATAGTTAAATCATCTCAACTGTAAATCTATCACTAACCATAAAAGTAATTATGTTTTATACTAACTCTATGTTAATCCCCCATTAAAAGTTAAAATTCATGGTTTGGTTCGATCTATAGTTTAATGTGTTTCAAAGATGAAGATATATACTAAAAGATGAATCAATATTTTAACTTTACATACTAGTAAAATGTTTTTTGATACCGAAATCACTCCTTGTGGTCAAATGTGGTATTCTTCCTCTTTCTGCTTAATAAATGGGATTGGGTTCATTTTAAAGTTCTTATTAAACAGTTTTGTTTATTGAATGATTATTTAAAAAATAAGACAGATACATATCATATAATTAACTAACATATAGTAATCACATCACAAGAATTTTAATAACAACTGTGAGGTATACATTCAAATATTAAATGTAAGGCTTTGAAGCCTAACTGATTGGCAGATGATATAAAGTGAATCACTATTTTGAGGTATGTACATTGTTGTTTAATGAGCATGGCTGCAAAATTATAAGTTTCCAAAGATTTGTTAAGACCATGAGGTTAGTTACATCTCAATCTTTCTCTAATCTGAGTGGTCCTGTTCATGGACATAAAACATACCCTCTCACAGTTCTGCAACTAATAATAGGTTACTCATTTTAATAGTTATTATAACAAAGAGTATAAAATATGTATTTCACCACTGCTTACTAATACTATACTAAGATATTACACTTGGCTATAATTTATAGTATAAAAGTATAAGTTACTTATTTCCATTCCAATAATTTTAACGCATCTCAAAAAGTATTCCATCCAAACTTGGCAAGTGCAATTAATTTAAAATCTTATCATACACATAATTTGGAGGTTTGATTACAGATTTGCTTTTATTAAAGGGGACGAAATTCTTGAATGGTACTTTAAATAAGCTTTAATGTTGTCGAAACTTTGTAGAATGGAGACAACTGCCTGTCGTAGAGACACGAGTGTAGAGGACGACGTTTCGAAAGTCTTCCGCTTTTTGGTCTTAATGTTGTTTATGCATTACTTTCACCTAGTCACAAAGTCTAATAGTAATACTAAATACTAACAGTAGAAATACCAGTAATGTGAAGTTGAACCGAATTAACTTTTATAAATTATAATTTTTACTTATAAAATAAGAATGATAAAAGATTACCTTTCTGTCATTAGAAACTATGGAATTCTAAAAACAAAATACTCAAATATCACAGAAACAGTTAAATTACAGAAACATAAAAATTAAACTGAGCTTAGCCCTATACTACGGATAGGCTTAAGAGCCTTAAAGAAAAAATAAAAATACATATTACCAGTGAATAAGATCCTCCTTCCATAACTACGAAAACAAATATTAAAAAAAACATTGTACTTTGTGGGCATACTAGGTGTCTCTAATTTGGTATAGATATTTCATGTATGAATATTTATTAGTGAAATTGTCTATTAATATCATTTAACGTTAAGTTCTTGCGTCCCAGAAACGCCACCTTTGTTTTTCTTCAGTTTCGGTTTCTTAAGTCTTTGCCCTCTCGATATTATATAAACTTTATAGAGATATTTTTATTGAACTAAAAATTAAAACGAAACAGTTGCTATATATTACATCTAGTCGCAATATGTGTAAGGAATCTTACGTCTGGTTATTATATTTGGCCACTATTTTTATCTCTTGACATGCTATTCTCAGTCATTACATACATATTTCAAATAAAAACCATAGTGTAGTTGATTTGAGTATGGAGAATTATATACTTAATATTTTTTGATCATCTTTGTTCATGTTTTAAGTACAATAGTTTGTCAGCTTTTCTTGCTTTTTTTTTAGTAATTTTAGTTTCTCGTTGTGCGGATGATTCAAGACAATTGATATTAAAACAGACTGCTTAAGCCTATGACGCTAGTGTTATACTTGAACTTGGTGGTTTGAGAGAGTATCCAAAATTCCAAACGAAACTTTTTAAAGGTGCCACATTTGAGAAAATCTCCCGGTGGGAAAGTGGTAAGTCTATGGACTTACAACGCTAAAATCCAGTGCTCAATTTCCCGCGGTAGACACAGCAGATAGCCCTCTATGGCTTTGCTCTAAAACAAACAAACATTTAAGAAAACTGTTGACCGTCCTGGTAAAAAATTAATATTTGCATAAAGCGAAATGGCATTTAATGTTTATTAACCAATATTCCTCTTTCTGATTAGACAGTGGTTGTTTTCATCTTGGAGACAATGGGGACCTTCCACACTAAATGTAAATTTATAAAATAATTTAACTTACAGTAAATAAAATTGGCATAATTTTGACGCTACCTCATTTAAATACATAAGAAAAATGCATATAAAAGTTAAGTAAACAAAATAGCCATTGTTCATTGCATTAATTTATTTATCCTAGTTTTAAACAGTATTGAGCGGTCAACGTTAACCACTCTCAGGGCCGGCATAGCCATGTGATTAGGGCGCTCGACTCGCAGTCTGCGGGTCGCGGGTTCGAATCCCCGTCACACCAAACATGCTCGCCCTTTCAGCCGTGGGGGTGGTATAATGTGACTGTCAATCCCACTATTCGTTGGTAAAAGAGTAGCCCAAGATTTGGTGTTGGGTTGTGTGATGATTAGCTGCCTTCCCTCTAGTCTTACACTGCTAAATTAAGGACAGCTAGCGCGGATATCCCTCGTGTGGCTTTGCACGAAATTAATAACAAACTGTTGCGTCATCGAGGTCACGTGACTGGTGTGGCGCTACCTA